GGTGGGGTGGAGAGACAGAGATAGAGCCAATTCGGTAGATAGGGATGATTAGGAGGCCATGATTGTAAGGGCCGATTGAGGGACTTTGGCCAAGACACCAGGGTTACAGCCCTACTATTTACCAGAAATACCATGGGATGTTTAATGACCACAGAGAGTCTGGACCTTGGTTTAACATCTCATCCAAAAGACGGCACCCACAATCAGTATAATGCCCTTCACTATACTGGGGCATTAGGACTCACACAGACCACAGGTTGAGCGCCCCCTGCTGGCCTCTCTAACACCACTTCCAACAGCAACCAAGCTTTCCCATGTGGTCTTCCCTTCAGGTACTGACCAGGCTCAGTCCTTCTTAGCTTGGGCTGCAGGGTGATATGGATTATTAGATTATCGGACATATTTGCAGAAGCTAATCCCTACATGGTGAGTGACAATTACTGATAACGTTGCTGCCTTGTTTACAGTTTGTCTGTACAAGTCAGAAATTTAATCTCCCATTGCTGAATGAGGTGAGGAAAAACATGTCCTCGTGCACAGGCGCAGAACACGGCTCTCATTTCAGGTGGCTTTCGTTCGTTTGGTTTGAGCACATGCAGCTTTTTTTTTTGTCTAGATGTGATCCAAAGTGAGGCGACAACACTTGTTTTTCGCTAGTTGTTTGATGTGGACTTGGTGTGTCTCAGCCCTGCTCATCAGCGTAGGTCCATTTGTGCATCATGTTTGTGATAGCACCACTTCATTAGAAAAAGAAACGTTGGAGTACATTATAGCCACCAGCAAGGGTTAAAGAAAAATGCTATGTTTTAGATTAGTAGATCTAACTTAACGAACTTAACTTTTGAGAATGGATGCAACAGATTTAATTCTCATCCCCCTTTTTTAACATGAGTTTTAGTGGACAGGGAGTGTGTTGTATGATTTGCTATCATGGTTGGTATAATAGATTATTTATTTTGATCGGATCTTTCTAATCACTCACTATCCTTCAGTTTAGTAGTCCCTGATTTTTCAGGAGTTGCCACAGTGGAATGAACCGCCAAATACTCTGGCATGTGTAACAGATGCCTTCCAGCCACAACCCAGCATTTGGAGTGTTTGTAATGATTTATTCATTTTTATCTTTTATCAATTATGACGTTATCATTTATGGCTTATTACCATCTTTGTCATGTTATGCTGCGTTCACACCAGATGCGGAACACGCATCAAGCACGAGTGATTTACATGTTAAGTCAATGCAAACACGCGATTAGACATCCTGTGGCACGATACGCGCGAATGGTGCCGCTCAAATGCGCTAATGGCGCAGTGCGAATGGTTCGATACGCGCAAATGGCGTGGGGCGAATTGAGCGTTTTGCGCGTTTGACGCACTTAACGTGCGAATCGCTCGAGTTCGAAAATCTTAACTTTAGCAGACATTCGTGCTGCATTAACCAATCAGGAGTTGCTCTTGTGGGAGTGTGATTGTGATGTATTGCCTGTTGTCGTTGTCCCAGGGGAAATCCTCCAGCCGACACCAACAGAAACCGGTTCGGTTTCTGAAGGAGTTTATGAGCTCACAGAGCTGGTGCATCTCTGAAAGGATGTAGTGGACTTAGACACGGCCCTAAACGTATCGACGCTGTTTTTCAGCCTTCATAAAGCACATAAACACTGTTATTTTCTTCATAAATACCATGTCAGCCATTTAGCTATGAAGCTAGAGTCACCAGGCAGACAGTAGCCCAAATGTTTGAGTAGCTCAAATGTTCACGCAGCTACTTACACGCGAATATCGCAATTTATTCACGCGTTCCGCGTCTGGTGTGAATGCAGCATTAGTCTGATATTTTAACATTTGATTTACTGTAAGTTAATATATTCCTTTACCTGTAACCTACATTACTGAAAAAAATCATGTATCATCACACTCCTGGTTTTAAATTTGCTCTTTATGAGATTTTTTTAATGCTTGATTGTCAATGAGGTCAACAGAAACGTGTTTTGTTCCCATTTATTGTACACTGCAATGGCCGGTTTATTTACTAGGTTTTAAATTGTCCTTTCTTGGAAATGCACAGTGGCCTGTGATTGGTTCTCTGGCCAGCCGTGTTGTGATTCACTCTTGGGATTGGCTAAGCCACAAGTGTCAAACTCAGTCCCTGTAGAGCCGCAGCTCTGCACAGTTTAGTTCCAATCCAAATAGACCCTTTTCACAATGATGTCACTTCCCCTATCGGCATTGCAGTGTATTTTTTAGTTCTGGTTTACCTTAGATGAATGGGAGACTTCTCTGCAAACTTTACAAATGATAATATTAAAATTGCACATTGTGATTTAAAGGGCACCTATGATGAAAAATCTACTTTTTAAGCTGTTTGGACAGCCGTGTGTGTAGGTATAGTGTTTAGACCGTCATATCAGGGCAGGGGTGCTCAATCCTGTTCCTGGAGAGCCACCTTCCTGCAGATTTCAGTTGCTACCCAAATCAAACACACCTGCCTGTAATTGTCAAGTGCTGTTCAGGTCCTAATTAATTGGTTCAGGTGTGTTTGATATGGGTTGCAACTGAAATCTGCAGGAAGGTAGTTCTCCAGGAACAGGATTGAGCACCCCTGTATTAGGGTAATATAAACACACCCAGTCCCTTTTTTGTTGAAACTAAACTGTGCAGGGCTGCAGGCCTCCATTATCTTTTGTTTGACCCCTAGGTAAGCCTTTGCATTTACATTATCTGCTTCACATCTGTTCTATTGTAATTGGTTAGCCAAAATCAGACCCTGCAATATTTTTGGCACTTTATTGAGGACACTGGAGAAATATTGATTAGTGTAGAGCTGCAGACCTGAATGAGGATCAAATGTTGAGCTTTGAGGGTGAAAACCAACCTGTTTGTTCCTCAGGATCTTCATGTTTGACTCTGAAAGCTTCTTCAGTCTCTTCCTGTTTGACTGTGAATGTTTCTTCAATCTTGATGTCTTCACTCTCCTCTTTAATAAACGCCATCTTTATAACAGTCTGAGCTCAGTCGCTTCAGCAGATCTTCTGTGTTTGTCCTGTTGAAGATCAGAATAATGAACAGAAAGACACAAATCCAGTCTCCATCAGCTCTCTAGTTCAGTAGTCAGTGCACTAGTTAGGGAGTCAGAGTTACTACTCTTTATTCATTAGAGCAGGGGTGTCCAAACTCGGTCGTGGAGGGCCGGTGTCCTTCAGTATTTAGCGTCAACTTGCCTCAACACACCTGCAAGGATGTTTCCAGAAACCCTCGTAAATTAGCTGGCCCAAGTGTGTCTGATTGGGGTTGGAACTAAACTTTGCAGGACACCGGCCCTCCAGGACTGAGTTTGGGCATCCATGGATTAGCTATGAATCAATCAATAACTCACATTCACAACTTGCATTAAAGCACACTAATTATATACACATACTTCATATTTATTTATGATGATTTACATTTTGTATTTAATCAATTGTACAGGCATTCTATATTTACCTTATTACTCTGTTTCTTTTAAATCCACAGTCTAGTACACAGAATAGTCTAATAATAAATCCTGAAAGAACAATAAATACTGTAAACTGAGACGCAGCTCCTCTGTTTTTTTAATGTGTGGAGGCAATTTATTCTTAAAATTATGTTTCTAAATGTTAGATAAGACATTCTAACATCACAGCCATTAATAATCAATTCGTGTTATCGATATTTTAAAGTCTAAACAAACGTCAAAAGAATCTGCGTCACTTTTAACATGTAAAATGATTAAAAACACAAACCTTTCTCCAGTTGACACAGACGATGCAGAAGCGCGGCGCTTGCCTATGACGTCACATGCAGTTCAAAATAAAAGTCCCGTTGATGTTAAAATTGCAGCGCTATTTAGCTATAAAACGTCTACTTAATTATGCGCTTTTGGTTTACAATAGACTATATTATGTGTTCAGAATAATACATTTGTCTCACCAAACTGTAAACATAAATGAGTATCTGCTCAAATACATTTGATTATGATTCACCTTTATGGTTAAAGTGTCACAGTAACTATATGACAACTACAGTGTTCAGGTGTATTTTAATTATAAACAATTATAAGAATATCTAAAATGCACATTCATTCATTTATTTTTTTGTCTGCTTATTTCCTTTATTAATCCGGGGTCGCCACAGCGGAATGAACCACCAACTTATCCAGCAAGTTTTTACGCAGCTGATGCCATTCCAGCTGTAACCCATCCTTGGGAAACTAAAATGCACATATCAATAGGTAATCCTAAGCATCATTATATATATTAGCAGGATCAAACCTTTTATACAAGCAACACAAATACATTCAACATCACATATGTTCAAATGCTGGTTGCTGGTCAAATCTTTTTATTAGTAGTAATAATATACTGTTGTGCCTCCAGGAACAGGGTTGGGGAAACTAAATTAAACAATAGCACTTAAAATATGGTTTCTAATGCATTTACATATACAAAATATATTTTAGAATTTACACAGTTTATATTAAGCATTAATACATGAGTCTTAAATGCTAAACAATGTTTGTGTGCAGCAATTATTAGTAATTTTGTTACACTTAGTAAAAATGTAATATGCAAAATGACGATGTATTCCTTTATTTAATTTTAAATTCTACATGACGTGTGCACAACTAAAATTAGACTCTATAATGTAAATAAAACTTAAATGAATGAATACAAGTCAACAATCACACACACTTTTGCCATTTTCAGCACATATTAAATGTCAGCTTCCTCAAGAAAGTAATCAGTTCAAGTCTCTGACATTTATTATTTAAGTGCACATTTATTGCATTTTTCTGTATTGCGCATCATTTAAATGGGACTTTTATTTTGCCGCTCTGTTGTGATGTCATAAGTATGCGCCGATCTTCTCCAGCTCAAGTCTCTCTGATGAAGAAAAGGTTTGCATTTTGAGCATTTCAATGGCTTAAACTGACTTTAAAGCTTTAATCTATGTATAATTTTGCAATAATTGTAAAGTTAATTTATTATCTAATATAACATCGCAAGAGATGTGTCTCATTTTTCTCCTTACATCTTAAATAAGGATTCACTGACATCTGTTTCACTCCTACTGCTTAAATCAGTGTGTGACTAGAAAAGTAAGTGTATCAACTTTCACAAACCACCCATTTAAAATAGTATAGTACTTTATAGTAGACCTAAACACCATAGTCTTTTGTAAGTGCAGCCACTGTGTAAAACATATGCTAGATAAGTTGATGGTTCATTCTGCTGTTGCGACCCCTAATGAACAGAGGGACTAAGCTAAAGGAAAATGAGTGAATGAATAATTGTAAATGTAGGTGGTGACGTACCTGTGTCAGCTCACAGTGTTGTTCAGAAGTCTTACAAGTTGTCACTTCTTGTTAATGATGCCACATAGGGATCATTCCATTATTTTTATAGGGGGAGAATGATTTGTGTAACGGGGTTGAGGGGTTACTTAAGTAACAAACTAAACAACATGATTTTAATAAATAATCATGAATTTGCTCTGAAAAAAGCATAACCAGCAAAAAAAAAATATATATATATTTTTATTTTTAAAATGTTCACATCCCAAGTATACTTTCACTTTCATATAACGATAAGAGCTCTGGTACGTTTTAAAAATGTATTATTAGAGACATTTTAATTAATATAAAAAGCTTTTTAAAAGTGATTTTGGTGACCAAATACATAAAACACAATCAAAAGAGTTCGAGAGACTCGGTTTCATGCATTGACTCATATATTAATGTGATTACACAGTGTCTATTAGAAAAGAGAAGCTTTAAATGTCTTTTAGCAGATTTACTGCATCTTGAACTCTCATTATTTCTATGATTAATCTGGCAGATTTGAGTAGGATAATCTGTTTTTTGGTTTGTTTATTATGTCCAAACAGTCATTATCAAATGGGGAAAACCCACTGACTATGGGTAGACTCAGCCAGACAGTCAGTGTTAATGATGCTCTTCATCTTGATCTTCACAGAGTGTCAAAACCCACAGAACAGCAGATTATGATGAAGATGGCGTTTATTAAAGAGGAGAGTGAAGACCTGAGGATTGAAGAAACATTCACAGTCAAACATGAAGAGACTGAAGAACAAACAGGTCAGTTTTCATCCACAACTATATGCAAATGTCCAGCTCTTCCGAAATTAATAATGGACAGTACTTTCTGTGATCTTATACTCGATCCAAGGGTCAGTTTTGGTCGGTTATTAGTGACTATTTAACATTTAAACAAGATGCAAATAAACTAAACTGAACTTCAGCTCTGAAATCTGGACTTTACTAGAACTTCTATGTTAAGCTGCTTTGACACAACCTACATTGTAAAAAGCGCTAAATAAATAAACATGAATTGAACTTTTTAGTATGTAATGTTCATCTAGGGCTGGGGTTTTTTTTTCCGATTAATTCGAATTTACGTTTTGATGACGATTTAATTTTATATTAAATCGAGAAATTGCGATTTAAAAAAAAATATATATTTAATACATTATAATGGCACCAATGTGCTTTGTTTCACTCTCTGTATGAAGCAGGAAGCACACCAGAAGCGCCTCTCGGCGACGCGCCACGCAGCGCCATGGATTTTACAATTCTAAACAGATTTCTATACACACACCGGCGCCGGCGAGCCACGATTCAGGGTGCAGTATATATTGCAGCCGCGCCACAGAGCGCCATCTGATTAGTTTCATGTTCAATATCATGCGAATGTGCGCGTTTGGTGTGTGATAGTTTAAACTGTCATGTGCGTGCCGTGTCGCGTCGCTTTGTGCGACCTGCTTGATTGTCTGTTAAAGCGTGAAGACAGGTAGGATTTTACTTGTTGCATTAGTCTGAGTCACGTCTGGATTGTCAAGACATATTCCCTCATCAAGTCGATAAACTCGATCTCAACATGTATGAAGGACGTAAAACCCTGCCATGTGAAAAACCACACCGATCTTTCGGTTTGAACACGAGCAGAGGTGAGGGTCTGTAGCAGTGAGAATGAAAGTAGCCGCCCCCATGATTTAGCGGACCTGGTTGAAAACCAGACAGATCAGGCAGCATAATACAGAGAGTGGAGCAAAGTGCGTCAAATGATCGATATTTAAAAGGGGGAAAAATAAAAATAGCTTTAATATATTATTTTATATTAGACACACATCTGGTGCTTTTATTTGCTCCTGCTATACATCGACAGCTTCTGGGATTCTGGGATTGTAAGAAACGGCAGTTTCAGCAGCATGTTTTGAATCTCTATAAATTTTCTTTCATTTAACTTTCATGTATCTGTCTTATATGTATCTTGTATGTTAGACATGATGGCATTCAAAGAAGAGAATCAAGAACCGAAGAACACTGAAGAACTTGATTCGAGAGAGGAACATGCGAGACTTCACGCTGCAGAAAAGCCACACACGTGCCCTCAGTGTGGAAAGAGTTTCAAACAAAAAGGAAAACTTCATGTCCACATGAGAATTCACACCAGAGAAAAGCCCCTCAGCTGCAGTGAATGTGGACTAAACTTCAGTCGAAAATCAGTCCTGAGCAGACACATGAGGACTCACTCTGGAGAAAACCCCTTCACCTGTCGGGAGTGTGGGATAAGCTTCAGTCGTAAAGATGCGTTGAGCAGACACATGAGGGTTCACACCAGAGAGAAGCCTTTCAGCTGTCAACAATGTGGAAAGAGTTTCACTCAAGATGGAAGCCTCAAACGCCACATGCTAACACACACCGGAAAGAAGACTCACACCTGCCAGCAATGCGGACAACGGTTTTTCAATAAATGGATTCTTGAACGCCACATGAGACAGCACACAGGAGAGAAGCCTTACACATGCCAACAGTGCGGAAGAAGTTTTACTCTTAAATCAACTCTTGATGCGCACTTGAGGATTCACACCGGAGAGAAGCCGTTTGTCTGCAGCCAATGTGGGAAGAGTTTCAGACATAACGTGACCCTGACTAACCACATGAAGACTCACAAAAGTAAGTACTGATTTCTGTTGTTACTGTGGGAAAAAAGGTGTTATACAAACAGTACAGAATTTTAGAGACGCAGGATAATTGTAAAGAAAACTTTCAGTCATCGTCAATGTAGACAGACTTGAACAAAGTCAAATGAAAGGTTAACGCAAGTACTCACGGTCAGAAGCATTTTAGAAACCTTAAAGTGATAGTTCATCTAAAAATGATCCTTCTTTTATTATTTACTCGTCCTCCGCTTCTTCCAGACATGTTTGACCTTCTGTTGAACACTAAACAAGATATTTTGAAGAATCTTTGAAAGCAGCAGCCATTGACCTCCATGGTATTTTTGCTTCATACTATGTATGTCAGCGGCTGCTGCGTTCTTCAAAATATTTTGTTTTGTGAACAACAGAACAATAATATTCATACATTCCCTGCTGAAAAATCCAGCTTAAACCAGCTTAGGCTGGTTTAAGCTAGATTTTTCAGCAGGGTTTAGAGAAAATGCCAAGGAAATTTTGATTCTTGGGCTGAAACTATCCCTTTAATATTACCAAAAGGAATCAAACTGGACAGAGGCATTTGGGAACAAACTTTATTTTGTCAGACCCCAAAATGGCTGATGTTGATCCAATAAGATCAGCTGACATTCGACCTTTGAAACAAAACTATCCTGAAAACAAGCTTCTGATAATGTAGCATGTCAGTCTGATAATGGCCTTTTTTCTGAAGTTTATTTTGAGACACACTTATAATTGAGAAATTAGGTGTTTTATTACAGTACATTTCAATGTATTTTTGTCCAACCCTGTTTACCTGTAAGTTTCAAACAAGCCTAAAGGACTCACCTATATTCATCAGGTGTATTTAATTAGGGTTCAAGCTAAATTGTGCAGAACTGTGGGCAGGACCAAGGTTTGGCACCCTTGGTTTATACCCTTCTCATTAAACAGTGGTATGTCTTTTCTCATGACAGACATGATGGCACACAAAGAAGACAGTCAAGAACCGAAGAACACTGAAGAATCCAATTTGAGTAAGAAACATGCAAGAAGTCATGCTGGAGTAAAGCCACATACGTGCCCTCAGTGTGGAAAGAGTTTCAAACAAAAAGGAAAACTTTGTGTCCACTTGAGAATTCACACCAGAAAAAAGCCCCTCAGCTGCAGTGAATGTGGACTAAACTTCAGTCGAAAATCAGTCCTGAGCAGACACATGAGGACTCACTCTGGAGAAAACCCCTTCACCTGTCGGGAGTGTGGGATAAGCTTCAGTCGTAAAGATGCGTTGAGCAGACACATGAGGGTTCACACCAGAGAGAAGCCTTTCAGCTGTCAACGGTGTGGAAAGAGTTTCACTCAAGATGGAAGCCTCAAACGCCACATGCTAACACACACCGGAAAGAAGACTCACACCTGCCAGCAATGCGGACAACGGTTTTTCAATAAATGGATTCTTGAACGCCACATGAGACAGCACACAGGAGAGAAGCCTTACACATGCCAACAGTGCGGAAGAAGTTTTACTCTTAAATCAACTCTTGATGCGCACTTGAGGATTCACACCGGAGAGAAGCCGTATGTCTGCAGCCAATGTGGGAAGAGTTTCAGACATAACGTGACCCTGACTAACCACATGAAGACTCACAAAAGTAAGAACTGATTTCTGTTGTTACTGTAGAGAAAAATCTGCAAAAAAAATTGAGTTTTGCAAACAGTAAAGAATTTTAGAGACGCATGATAATTGTAAAGAAACCTTTCAGCGTTCATCTACATGACTACTGAAACTCAGATCTGACTCCAGAGTCACTCCAAGATTCTTGACCTTATTTTTTGTTGTTTGACCCTTAGAGCCAAGGTACGCATTCACCTCGAGAACCTCGCCTCTGTTCCCAAACGCAAGCCTTAGGTTTTCTCTTTGTTTAACTCAAGAAAGCTTTGGCACATCCAGCTGTTCAGTTGATCAATGCATTGGCAGAGGGTGTCAATCTTGCTGTAGTCATTAGGCAGTAAAGCTAAGTAGATCTGAGTCTCATCAGCATGGCTGTGGTAGGAGATTTGGTTCTTCTTCATTATTTGGCTCAGAGAGAGGATATAAAGGTTGAACATTAGGTGTTTTATTACAGTACATTTCAATGTATTTTTGTCCAACCCTGTTTACCTGTAGGTTTCAAACAAGCCTAAAGAACTCAATTATATTGACCAGGTGTGTTTATTTGGGGTTCAAGCTAAACTATGCAGAACTATGGCCAGGACTGAGCTTGGGCGCCGTTTGTTTACACCCTACTTATTTAACTATGGTATGTCTTTTCTCTTGACAGACATGATGGCACACAAAGAAGACAGTCAAGAACCGAAGAACACTGAAGAACCCAATCGGAGAAAGAAACATGCAAGAATTCATGCTGCAGAAAAGCCACACACGTGCCCTCAGTGTGGAAAGAGTTTCAAACAAAAAGGAAAACTTCATGTCCACATGAGAATTCACACCAGAGAAAAGCCCCTCAGCTGCAGTGAATGTGGACTAAACCTCAGTCGTAAAGATGCGTTGAGCAGACACATGAGGGTTCACACCAGAGAGAAGCCTTTCAGCTGTCAACGGTGTGGAAAGAGTTTCACTCAAGATGGAAGCCTCAAACGCCACATGCTAACACACACCGGAAAGAAGACTCACACCTGCCAGCAGTGCGGACAACGGTTTTTCAATAAATGGATTCTTGAACGCCACATGAGACAGCACACAGGAGAGAAGCCTTACACATGCCAACAGTGCGGAAGAAGTTTTACTCTTAAATCAACTCTTGATGCGCACTTGATGATTCACCCCGGAGAGAAGCCGTATGTCTGCAGCCAATGTGGGAAGAGTTTCAGACATAACGTGACCCTGACTAACCACATGAAGACTCACAAAAGTAAGAACTGATTTCTGTTGTTACTGTGGAATAAATCAGCAAAAAAATGTAGTTTTGGAAACAGTTAATAATTTTTAGAGGCATGATAATTGTAAAGAAACCTTTCAGCGTTCATCTACATGACTACTGAAACTCAGATCTGACTGCAGAGTCACACCAAGATTCTTGACCTTATTTTTTGTTGTTTGATCCTTAGAGCCAAGGTACGCATTCACCTCGAGAACCTCGCCTCTGTTCCCAAGCGCAAGCCTTAGGTTTTCTCTTTGTTTAACTGAAGAAAGTTTTGGCACATCCAGCTGTTCAGTTGATCGATGCATTGGTGGAGGGTGTCACTGGGGCTGTAGTCATTAGGCAGTAAGACTAAGTAGATCTGAGTGTCATCAGCATAGCTGTGGTAGATTTGGTTCTTCTTCATTGTTTGGCTCAGAGGGAGCATATAAAGGTTAAACATTAGGTGTTTTATTAGAGTACGTTTCAATGTATTTTTGTCCAACCCTGTTTACCTGTAGGTTTCAAACAAGCCTAAAGAACTCAATTATATTGACCAGGTATGTTTAATTATGGTTCAAGCTAAACTGTGCAGAACTGTGGCCAGGACTGAGCTTGGGCGCCCTTGGTTTATACCCTACTTATTTAACTATGGTATGTCTTTTCTCTTGACAGACATGATGGCACACAAAGAAGACAGTCAAGAACCGAAGAACACTGAAGAACCCAATTTGAGTAAGAAACATGCAAGAAGTCACGCTGTAGAAAAGCCCCACACGTGTCCTCAGTGTGGAAAGAGTTTCAAACAAAAAGGAAAACTTCATGTCCACATAAGAATTCACACCAGAGAAAAGCCCCTCAGCTGCAGTGAATGTGGACTAAACTTCAGTCGAAAATCAGTCCTGAGCAGACACATGAGGAGTCACACTAAAGAAAACCCCTTCACCTGTCGGGAGTGTGGGATAAGCTTCAGTCGTAAAGATGCGTTGAGCAGACACATGAGGGTTCACACCAGAGAGAAGCCTTTCAGCTGTCTACAATGTGGAAAGAGTTTCACTCAAGATGGAAGCCTCAAACGCCACATGCTAACACACACCGGAAAGAAGACTCACACCTGCCAGCAATGCAGACAACGGTTTTTCTGTAAATGGATTCTTGAACGCCACATGAGACAGCACACAGGAGAGAAGCCTTACACATGCCAACAGTGCGGAAGAAGTTTTACTCTTAAATCAACTCTTGATGCGCACTTGAGGATTCACACCGGAGAGAAGCCGTATGTCTGCAGCCAATGTGGGAAGAGTTTCAGACATAACATGACCCTGACTAACCACATGAAGACTCACAGATAGGAGAACTAATTTATGTTTTATTGCAGATTTAGTTTTACAAACACTTTTAGAGACGCATGATAATTTGATTTAGTAATATTATAGTATTGCACTCCTGGATCAAAACAAACGCAAGCGCAGGTTGCCAGTTCAAGGACAGGAGCGAGTGATTTAAACCGCATTCTAAATGAAAGCAACGGCACGTGATAGAAGGAGTATAGAAGGAAACAGCCTCTGTTTCTCACGGCTGAACAACAGAAAACTGACAATGATCAGCTCAGGTACAGCTCATGTTTATTCAGTGTTAAATGCTAATAATGTGAGTCTGACATGAAATTTATTGCCATACTACTAAAAGCAGCAGCAGATAGTTCAGCTCAGATCTGGAGAATACAATAAACCCATTGAGATTAAACTTTAGAACTAAACACAAATGAGTGATCCAGCATGTATATGTAATAATGTTGAAGAGGATTATTATGTATTAAATAGATTATAAACCTTCCCATTTGGTGAGTGAGTGAGTGTGTGTTCTGTGATTCTGAATAGATGTATTTTCTCTCCAAGATAAAACAGTGCAGGTGCACAAGCACCCAAAGCCCCATCTACACTAATGGAATATACACATTTGACTTCAGACAAACACAGAGCACCTAAAACACTGCAGTGCTCCATGAATAACACTTGTATCAGAGTGACAGCAATGTTTTGTCAGCTTGACAATCTCTGAGAATGGTCGCCGAGCAGTCTACGTAGAACCAGGTAATATTTTTTTTTAAAGCATTGACTGGTCCACAATGATAAATAGGTTGATCTGTAACTATTGATCTGTAACAAGCACAACTAATATTTAAATATAAAAATAAGAAGAGCACATTTAGATTTGATTTCAGCAAAGATAACCACGACAGTTTTCAAGATGATTCTGTTTTTTTATATTTCAGAGAAAGATAAAGTCGAGTGTCATCTGCACAGAGATCACATGATACTACATGTTTAATAAACATAAATGCAACATGTATAACGAAAAAGGAAGATTGGGCAACAGCTGGCCCTGTGGTACAGCCAGAGTAAAAGATAAGCTGACCAGCAGAAACAGGGAAAAAAAAACCCACTGCTCTTCTGAAAACAGGAAGCAAAAGTAGACGTGATCATGAGAAAGAAAAACAAACACAAAATCTTGTGTTGTTAAATTTAAAGTATAAAATGTTGAAGAAAAGATGCAAATAAAGAACAGAAAGAGCAGAAAAGAGGAAATAAGCAAAACTACAACCACAACTGAGCTCAAGTCCCGCTGGCTTGGTTAAAATTAACTGCTAATAAAACAATACTGTAGACGAAATTCGAAGAAATGAACACAAAACTGGAAACTGGACACACTCAAAGGGGCAACACTCTGGCACTTGCAACTGGAAAATCCCTTAAAGAAGAAACAACAAGAATTGTGTGTGAATTCTGTCACATCTATAAATTCATGTTGACACAATGCATTAAATCTCTGCAGATCTCGGCAGGAATCAGTCATTCAGTTTCTTTCGGCTTAGTTCCTTTTTTTATCATGGGTCGCCACAGCAGAATGGTCCACCAACTTGTTAAGCATACGTTTTATGCAGCGGATGCCTTTCCAGCCACAACCCAGTACTGGTAAACACCCATACACACTCATTAACACACACTATCCACCTTAATAGAGGTATGAAGAAAGGTTCAATAAGTGTAACTGGTAATGCTAATGTTTTCATTTTTCATTTATTTTCTTTTTCGCTTAGTCCCTTCAACAATCCGGGGTCGCCACAGCGGAATGAACCACCAACTTATCCAGTTCGTTTTTACGCAGCGGATGCCCTTCCAGCTGCAACCCATCTCTGGGAAGTATTCACACACACTCATACACTACGGACAATTTAGTCTACCCAGTTCACCTGTACCGCATGTCTTTGGACTGTGGGGGAAACCGGAGCTCCCGGAGGAAACATGCAAACACAGAAACGCCAACTGAGCTGAGGTTCGAACCAGCGACCTTCTTGCTGTGAGGCGACAGCACTACCTACTGCTCCTCTGTGTCGCCTGGTAATGTTTTTTAATGTTTAATTGATCCCTGCTTGAAGGCACGGTGGCTCAGTGGTTAGCACTTTTGTTTCTCAGCAAGCAGGATGCTGATTTGAGTCCACTGGCTGGGTCAGTTGGCATTTCTGTGTGGAGTTTGCATGTTCTCTCTGCGTTGGCGTGGGTTTAGTGTGTAGTGTGGGAATGGGTGTGTATGGATGTTTCCCCGTGATGGGATGCAGCTGAAAGGGCATCCTCTGTGTAAAACATATGCTGGATAAGTTGGTGGTTCATTCCACTGTGGCGACCCCAGATTAATAAAGGGACTCAGCTGAAAATAAAATGAGTGAGTTCTAGGGTAAAACCTTAGATTTTTAGCAGTATGGGGATCAGCTTTGTTTAATTTGGTCAGTATAAATATGGAAATCCCCCACATGTGAACATGTTTATGAGTCTGGTGATCCTCCTCCTCGATTCTCACACCTCTTCCTGAAAACTTGGTTTCACTTTTTCTGCTGAAATAAAAACGATTTCACAACTGCTGTTCGACACAGCGTCTTCTGAGGAACCAATAAACAGACCTACCAGTGTAATTTAGGTGAGAATTCAATCTTCCTTGTGTTGTTTTCATCTTTAAATGTACATTATCATTGATCATCTTGAGTTTACAGTTTCAGCGCTGTGTTATGTTGATGATTTTCAGCTCATGGTTTCAGGTTTGTTCTTGTAAACGTAAAACAGAAAGCGGCACAATCTGATATTGTTGTCATATTGTGTGAAATAACAGTGTTTCTTTGTGTTTCACTGTGAAATACTCGACCGTATTTATTAACTGTTCTCAGTTCTTCTATGGCGTATTAAAGCATCACTCTGCAACTTTAGTATGTTTTGATTTAGGGCTGCCCGATATTGGAAAAACGGACAATGCAATGTTTTCATTTACTGCGATTCATATTGTGACAAACGCAATTTCACCAGATGACTTAAAGAGCTTGTGAAGAAATCATAATTTTAGATCGATTTGAATGATTCTGTAGGGAAGCATCTCATCTCCTCTTATTTTCGTCGCTTTTTTGGGGCCTGGTCACGGGGGCAGCGTGTCTACCAGACTACCCTCTCCCCAGACACTTCCTCCAGCTCATCTGGGAGATCCTGAGGTGTTCCCAGGCCAGCTGAGAAAATAGTCCCTCCAGCGTGTCCTGGGTCTACCCCACAGCCTCCTCCCAGTGGGACATCCCTAGAACACCTCCCTAGGTAGGCGACCAGGAGGCATCCGAAACAGATGCCCGAGCCACCTCAGCTGATTTCTCTCTATGTAGAGGGGCAGCGGCTCTCACAAAGCTCCTCCCGTGTCACAGAGCTCCTCACCCTGTCTATAAGGGTGCACCCTGCCACCCTGCGAAGGAAACTCATTTCGGCCGCCTGTATCTGAGATCTTGTGCTTTCAGTCATGACTTCCTATCTCGAAGATAAGTAAGGATGGGAACGTAGATTGACCGGTAAATCGAAAGCTTTGCCTTTCGGCTCAGCACTTCTTTATTCATCCTGTTTAGTGGCTTAAATTCTTTTGGACATAATTAGGTGCTGCTTGTCAATCAGACAAAGCTTCTTTGTTCCTGCTGTCAATTGTGGAAAAAATAATCGATAAAAGTGTTATGATAAACCGCTGTGAGGTTAACTGCAGGCGCTGTGTGATGTGCATGCACATGAAAGGGAGTCAAAACCAAACATAATGTCATAAAGTAAATCTTATTGGCCTTATTCTTGACATAAGAGCTGATGAAGCCTTTGAAATCTTTTGGGCTCGAGACGTACACTCTCATTCACTTCCATTGATTTTTAGACGGTACATGAAATTTATCATTCATTATTTTTTTTTTTTTAAAGTTCAGGTTTACAGAGGAGCTGATGAAACATGTCAGACAGCAGTGAGTCAGTGAAGGACAATGGAATCTGATGAACAGCATAATGACACACTGGGTAAGCTGGAGGAAAGAAAGCGGAAATGTAAGTCAGAATGTTAAAACTGTCATTCAAGACATGTCAGTAATGCCTGTTTGTATTCCAGTCCAGATGGGCAGCAGTGGTAACAGTGGAATCAATGCTGATCTGAGAGCTGAAAAAGAAGCAACAGTGATTGCTCCTTTACTCAATGGAAACAACATTACAGGGCCAGTAACCTTCAATTACTGTTTGAACTCTGCAGGAAATGGTACTATCTCTAGAACTCTGCTTATTGAGACACACACTGCTTTGTTCAACCCAGGCTCATTCTGAATACGTACTCCTATATACATTTCTGGAGAGTGCCAAATAAGTCCCCGGAGCTACGTTTTTTGCAAATCCGCCAGAGACCTGTAAGAAAAAATTAGGATGACATAGAAAATCTTAATGAAGATGTTTATTCAGCATAGCAGTCTCAAAGTGCACTGCAGTATCCTGGTTTTAGAGTCAGAATGAATCCTGGATATTAAACACAAACCTTTATACTGTTTTAGATGTTGCCTTTATACTTGCCTTTAGATGGTAATGAAGTTGCTCCTTGGCTGTTGACACAGCTGTTCGATCTATCACCATTGATGAGATGGTCCTCTGTGCCACATACCCATCATCATTCTACATCCGTTACCATTTGCTCAAGATGTAGTCACCTCAAACAATGCAGAGACAACAAACTGTTGACTTCTCTAATCTATCATAATCCAGCCCTTTTGGGAAATGGGCATCAGCACACAATTTAGAGTGGAAGTTGGGTTGTGGCAGACCCATCAATGTCAATCACGCCTGTTCTTCTCGCATAAATCCACCAGAGGCCACTTTTGACTGACTGATTGCTTTATTGAATCGTTCTTCGTCAGACTCAAAGCCTGTCGTCACGGTCAACTCCTCTCTGTGTCTCAAATCTTCAGACGTACGCGACAAGCCACTGGACAAACTGGTAAACACAGAAAAGTCTTCCATACAGAGGTAAGCGGTTAGCTGGTGAGTGTAACGGAGGCCAGCTAGTGAAGTGCTGTGCAGGTAAACCTCATTCCTCTGACCTCTAAAGGTGCTCTAGCGACAGATAGAGGCCATGGTCTTTAGCCTCCTTGTTAGAGCAACCGACTCCCATGCGGAAGGTCTACGGTACGATACCAGCTCAGAGCGAGTTGGGTGACGTAGGACCGGCGGGATTACATAAGCGCAAAAGGAATAGCGTCATACCGCCCCGTAGCGTTCGTTTCAAAGACGAAATGCAGCCAAACATTTCTTTGACTACAAAATTCTCTCCAGAAATGTATATAAGGGGACATTTTCAAAATGAGCCTATATTGGCCTTGAAATCAATGCTCATTGACTGAATGTTTTGCCTATTAAAGTTCATATAATAATAAGATTTTTTTTTTTTAATCCCTTTCGAATCCCTCTCAGTCATTAAAGGGTCTGCAAAACTGACTGAATTGTTATGTCCTAGATTTTAAGTCTTTTCATGAGTTTTCACTATTTATACTTTGCATAGTAAGAAAAGTAACAACCATTTGGCTATATACAGCTAGAGCACCTGATTTTAACATGTGATTGTAAATATGAAACTTATGTGGTATTTAAAAAAAAGGCTTCATGTTTTCTCTTTTTGTCTCTCTTCACAGAACCACAAAAATATCCAAAGACAGCGGACAAACACACAGAAAAACAAGGTGCCAAAAGTCATATTCTCTTAAGGATAGTTTACATTGCACCGTTAGACAATAACTAACATCAACAGACATGAACATATTGTTATTTCCCCCATTGGCATCTGTTCATGTTTATAGCTTGGTTTCCATCACTCAGGATTAATGGTCATTTTGAAGAATCGCATGAGAAACAAGTAAAGGGAACGACAACATTTTTATCAAATACTTTAATTCATAAAATAGGTTTTATGGTTGCTTGAGGTGGTTTTACACTGAAAAAGGCTTAATGTGAATAATGTAGATCAGGGGTCACCAATCTCGTTCCTGGAGGTCCGGTGCCCTGTAGGGGTTTAGCTCCAACTTGCCTCAACACACCTGCCTGGGTGTTTCAAGTATACCTAGTAAGACCTTGATTAGCTCGTTCACACTATAAATAACCAGAGTTTTCCAATTCAGTCATCTTTGTCTTGAAGAATCCCCCCTTCCACCCCTACCCCTCCTCTTCTCCTGATAGGGCAGCACGGCGGCCCAGTGGTTAGCACTGTTGCCTCACAGCAAGAACCTGGTTTGGCCACTCACCAGGCCGATTGGTGTTTCTGTGCGAAGTTTACATGTTCTCCCCATGCCTGCGTGGGTTTTCCCCAGTTTCCTTCCACTGTCTAAAGACATATACCTTAAGTAAATTCACTACTCCAAAGTAGCATCTTAAGACAAACTCTTCCCTGCTGAAAAATCTAGCTTAAACCATTCTTAAGATTCTTCAAGACAAAGATGACTGAATTGGAAAACTCTGGTTATTTATAGTGTCAGTATTCATCTGATTGGTGCAATATATGGAGCTGATGCGGTACCAGCTGTTCAATCATAAGCACGTGATCCTCTCGAAGTTAGTTAATAAATAAACCAAAGGGCAAGGCAGTGGCGCAGTATGTAGTGCTGTCGCCTCACAGCAAGAAGGTCGCTGGTTTGTTCCTTGGCTCAGTTGACGTTTCTGTGTGGAGTTTGAATGTTCTCCCTGCATTCGCGTGGGTTTCCTTCGGGTGCTCCGGTTTCCCCCACAGTCCAAAGACATGCAGTACAGGTGAATTGGGTAGGCTAAAGTGTCTGTAGTGTATGAGTGTGTGTGTGAATGTGTGTATGGATGTTTCCCAGAGATGGGTTGCAGCTAAAAGGGCATCCGCTGCGTAAAAATGTGCTGCATAAGTTGGCAGTTCATTCCGCTGTGGCGACCCCGGATTAATAAAGGGACTAAGTAACAAGAAAATGACTGAAATAGACCACACTTAAACAGCAATTTAGTTCAATATGTTGAATAAAATTTGATGCCAATGCTTTGTTGTTGTCGTTTATTAATCATGTGTTTGCTTCCCCTCATATTTTATGTTCTTTATAACAGATGATTTGAAGCTGCAAAAAATCTTGGAGACTCACAGAACCTACATGAAGAAGAAAGTGGACTGTATCTTAGACTGCACAAAGGAAAATGCAGAACATTTCAAGGCTTTTTACACAGAACTCTTCATCGCAGAAGGAGATATGCAAGATGTCAACCAGGAACATGAGATTTTGAAGATCGACGATGCTTTCAAGAAAAAAAAGGCTTCACTCAGATCAATCAGATGCAAGGATATATTTGCTGAACTGAAGGCAAAATCGGAGAAAAACACTGTGCTGACCAAGGGCATCGCTGGCATCGGAAAAACCGTCTCTGTGCGCAAGTTCATCCTGGACTGGGCTGAAGGACAAACCAATCATGACATACACTGCGTGTTCCTGCTTCCATTCCGTGAAATTAATTTAATGACAAACGAAGATTTCAATCTCCACGAGTTTCTGCTGAAATTTTATCCTGAACTGAAGGAGCTGGAGACGTCGGTGCTGTTTCAGCAGTGCAATCTAGCATTTATATTTGATGGACTCGATGAGAGTCGCCTGCCTTTAAATTTCAAAAGCAGAACACTGAACAACGTTGAGGAAAGATCATCCGTGGACATGCTGTTTACAAGTCTAGTCAAAGGCAATCTGCTTCCGTCGGCTCTTGTCTGGGTGACCTCGCGACCTGCAGCAGCCAATCAGATCCCCCCTCGGTATGTAGGATTGTTCACAGAGGTGCAAGGATTCACCGATCAACAGAAGGAGAAGTATTTTAGAAATAGAATCGCAGATGAGACTCAGGCCTCCAAAATCCTCTCCCATATTAAGACATCTCGCAGTCTCTACATCATGTGCCACATTCCTGTGTTCTGCTGGATCACGGCCACCGTTCTTCAAGATATCCTCCAGAGGAATATCGAAAGCATCGGCACAACACTCACTGAAATGTACATCCACTTCCTGCTGATACAGATGAACATGAAGAGCCAGAAGTACGATCCTGAAGAAGAAAGAGAATACGCCAAGCTCTTGGAAGCAAACAGAGAAGTGATTCTGAAACTAGCCAAGCTAGCGTTTGAACAGCTGAAGAAGGAAAATGTCGTGTTTTATGAGCAGGATCTGAAGGATTGTGGTATTGATGTGAATGTAGAGTTCACGGGAATGATCGCAGAGATCTTTAAGGTGGAACATGGTCTTCATGAAGCAAAGGTTTTCTACTTCGTACATCTGAGTGTTCAAGAGTTTCTGGCTGCGGTGTATGTGTTCTTCTGCTTTCTAAACAGGAACACCCATGAGCTTACTTTTTTCTTTGAAAGTTCACAAAATACACCACGAGAGCTTCAGTTCCTCTTTAAAAAGACATTCAGGAAAGTCAAGTTTCATGACTTAATCAAGAGGGCCACTGACAAAGCAATGCGCAGTAAGCGAGGACATCTGGACCTGTTCCTGAGGTTTCTGCTTGGCATTTCGCTGGAGTCCAGTCAAAATCTGCTCAAAGGCCTGTTCTCGCACGTTATAGACACCACGAGGAGCATCAAAAAAATAAGTCCGCACTTTAAACATTTGCAAAACAAGAACATCTCATGCGATTGTTCAGTCAACCTATTTTTCTGCCTGCTTGAGCTCAAGGATCACTCGTTATACGAGGAAATCCAGAGAAGCCTCAATTCAGATAGACGTCCAAGCAAAGAACTCTCGTCTTCAATGTGCACAGTGCTGACCTACATAGTGCTAATGTCAGAGAAGGAGCTGGACGAGCTCAACCCAAAGAGATTCACATCATCACAGGAAAACTACAGGAAACTCGTCCCAGCGGTTAGGTGCTGCAGAAAAGCGCTGTGAGTAATTTCACTAGCTGTTTACATCCAACTAGTTCTATGCACATTTTGAAGCACATTTTGAGGTTGGAGGTTGGTTGGTGAAGGGGCGTCGTGGACAAAATTGAAGAGGGTTGGGTAGTCGGGGAAGAAAGTGAAAGTGAACAGCGGATGGGGAGGAGGGCGGTTAAGGAGGGAGATTGATAAAATAAGGTGCCGGATCAGATTTCAGAGATGCCGGATCTGGTATGTTCTGGTACAACACTGTTCTGGCGTTAAGCTCTGGTTATAAGAAATCATGTGATGATAAAAATGAGTGTGTGGTTCACTAATGTTATTATTACCTCCAGAACTGTCCTTAACACCTGTAATCCCAAAGAGTGTCTCATGACTCCAGACTCCAGCACAGGGGTCACCAAACTTGTTCCTGGAGGGCCGGTGTCCTGCAGATTTTCGCTCCAACCCTAATAAAACACACCTGAACAAGCTAATCAAAGTCTTACTAGGTCAACTTGAAACATCCAGGCAGGTGTGTTGAGGCAAGTTGGAGCTAAACCCTGTAGGGACATCGGCCCTCCAGGACCGAGATTGGTGACCCCTGCTCCAGCACGTGTTCATTGCACTATTTTCTGAGGCACAAGTAATTTATTATACAAGAAAAAGACACTGTTCTCTTTGACTCATTAGATTTGACTCAAATCTTTTATGTTTAATATGTATGTGACATTCCAGTTTTGTGCATAAATTTAATTAGTGTCTTTGGTCAGAAACACAGCTACTCTTAGCTATTTGATCAGAAAACAAGATCAAATTACACTGTGAAATACACTCACCCGCCACTTTATTAGGTACACCTTACTGGTTCCGGGTTGGACCCCTTTTGTCTTCAGATCTGCCTTAATCCTTCGTGGCAGAGATTCAACAAGCTACTGGAAATTTTCCTCAGAGATTTTGCTCCATATTGACATGATAGCATCACACAGTTGCTGCAGATTTGTCGGCTGCACATCCATGCTGCCAATCTCTCTGATAAGAAATTTGCGGTAACAAGCAGTTGGACAGGTGTACCTAATAAAGTGGCACTTGGTCTCAGTTACTAATCATGTGCAAACGTTTGTGTGAAATGTGCATTTGGACATTTTCACAAAATATTGTGAGCGCATAAATACAAAAATTATTAGTGAATGAGACCCAAAGTCTGTTTTGCAGAAGCATTTAAGTAAATCTGAGTAAACATTGTGCTTTGTCAGATTTAATGGCTGTGGTCTGGATGAAACGTCCTTTCAAACCATATCTTCAGCTCTACAATCATCAGACTCTTATCTGACAGAGCTGGAGCTCAGTAACAATCATCTGCAGGATTCAGGAGTGAAGCTGCTCTCCGATGGACTGAAGAGTTCACACTGTCAACTGAACATACTAAGGTTTGACAGTTACATTCAGATATGTGGACATCAGAGACTTATTTTACACCTTGTAAAAAAGGGTCCCCTTTATTGTCACTGATTGTTTTTGTTCTTTACACAGGCTGTGTGGATGTGGTCTCACTGATCAGTCCTGTGAAAGCTTGTCTTCAGCTCTGCAATCATCAAGCTCTGTCCTGAGAGAGCTGGATATGAGCAACAACATGCTTAAAGATTCTGGAGTGAAGCTTCTTGCTGTTGCATTGAAGAGTCTTAACTGTAAACTGGAGAGACTGAGGTTTGAATTTCCTTTTTTTTTCTTTTTTTATTGCTTTAACTGTGTTTTTTTTAACAGTTTTATTGATTCTTAAGCTAATTACGAATAATAATACATTTTATTTTTAATGCGCTTTTCTTAGACTCAAAGCGCTACAAGGGAAGATACTAACAAGGCAAGCAGAACAGCACAACAATAAAAAGATGCGATAAAAATATTAACCATAAGCTAGAATAAAAATTGATCAGCCTAAGCTAAAAGCAATGCTAAAAAAGTGAGGCTTTAAACAGTCCAGAGAAGTGGCATTCCTAATGCTGATGGGTAGTGCATTCCACAGCTTAGGGCACACTGTATTAGCCCTTCCACCCATGGTCTTGAATTTACAGAGTGGCTGATGCAGGGTAAGTCCCGATGCAAAACGAAGACTGCGGGCTGGGGTGGAGAGAGTAACCAGGTCACAGGTGTAACCAGGTGCTAGCCCATGCACTGGTTTGAAGATTAAAATCAAGGTCTTAAAATCAATACGTGCCTTAATAGGAAGCCAGTGTAATTGTTGAAGTACAGGATTATTTTGGTGACGTGATGATGTGTGTGTCAGAACCAATGACTGTAAAAAATATGGACGACGCGACAGCCCCTTTTCCCATTGAACGCCTTGAGGGCAAAACGCCTGCTTGACGGGCACAAACTGTCGCAAAAGACTGCTGAAATTGGAGCCTTGACATGCGCAGACGGACTGTCTGATGGAGCCAGAGGAGGAGCCGCGAAAATGAGCGGAGTCGAGCTTCCAACCAAACGCTTTATGTAAAATCAACCATGTCCCCCGAACTTCTCAGCATGCGTTTGCTGTCATATCAACACAAATGGATGTAATAACGTTAACAAATATGAGGGTTTTATATATTGAATCGCGCCAGCTCCAGGCCACAGCGCATAACCTACTCGCGGCGTCGCGGGCTGATTCCGGCTCGCATGCGGCAGCGCCGGCTCGCTCGGCCGCTGCATCTGGCTCGATTGACTCGGGCTGAAATCGGGCAGTGAGTCCAGGCATCCGGAGTAGGTCCAGCAGAGGTAGTCAGTCTGAGCTCTGAGGGGTAAGTCTCCGGCAGGCGAGAATCTAGCCGGAACTGGCCCGAGTGTATTTTGCTCTCTGGGTGGTTAGGCGTGTATCAGCAAACTAATAAAGCCCGAAAAAAGCCCTGACCTTAGAGAATAAACAGTGTTCCACCAGGATCATGTATGTCAGAAACTGTAGTTTACTGCTGAACTCATTTTGTCATGGTAAAATAACACAGAAATCGAATAATAACACTTCAGTCTCCTGCCGAAGCTCAGACGCGCTGCTTTGAGAAACTGTCAATCACAGCTGTCAATCACGATGACACGCCCAGCATTAAATTACTGCTAAAAACAAACTGTTTACACAAATGAAGATCTGCACCTATTTCAGCACAATAACCAGTGCCTTAATCCACCAGAACCATCTTTCGGGACATTTTATTGCAAGTGTAATAATTTTATTTTATTTTAGCGATTATTATATTTGAATGTATTTTCTTTGTTCTTCTCGTGTGCAGATTTTCTATGTGCAATCTCACTGCTGAGTCTTGTGAGAGTTTATCATCAGTTGTAGAGTTGTCAAACTCTGTCCTGAGAGAGCTGGACCTCAGTAACAATGACCTGCAGGATTCAGGAGTGAAGCTTCTCTCTGATGGACTAAAAAGAAACTGTAGGCTGGAGATCCTGAGGTATTTTATTTTTGTTTCTTTTTACATTCAATTATTGGATTATAAAAGGCTGAAATGTGATTTCACACCTAGATGTTTGTCTCGGAACCTGGCACGTTTGCCCTCTTAGCTAGGTTAGTTTGGGCATTTGTGAACACCGAGATGACTCTGATTGGCCGTGAAGGTCATCGGTTCACCACTCTTCATCGATGTTCACTGAGTGCAAACACAAATGCACATACACGAGCGCTTCAAAACCACATTGATTAGCTGGTGCATCCCTGTATGTGTTTGCACTCGGCGAACAGCAGTGAAGAGTGGTGAACCGATGACCTTTATGGCCAATCACAGTCATTTCTGTTGAGGACACGAATGCAATGACCAATCAGCGATGTTTAAGTACGCACTTAACATCGTTCAAATGTTAGCTGGAAATTGATATATTTTAATCTTTAGTAGCGATTGGTACCGAACTCGATGCTTTTGTCAAACGTAACATCCAGTATGTGAATTGTTGTTGTGTGTGTCTGCAGGTTGTCAGGCTGTATGGTGACAGAGGTAGGCTGTGGTTTTCTGTCTTCAGCCCTGAGCTTAAACACCTCGACCCTGAGAGAGCTGGACCTGAGCTACAATCATCCAGAAGATTCAGGAGAAAAGCTGCTGTCTGATGTACACAATCAGCCAAACTGCAGACTCTGGTATGTCAAGAAGACATGTTTTGTTAGTAAAATGTCAATCTTTTGATTAGATAACACCGGCGAGGGACATAGTTCATTGACTTTGGTTTATTTATCAGTTTAAGTATAGCCTACTGGCCATTGACTAAATTTGCAGCCTTAGTCCCTGTGTAATGTCAAGAGGGACGCTGAGAAGGAAGGTGCAGATCAACACAGAAGCAAACAGGGGTACAGAGGCAGTCCTGAGTAGTGGTCAATACACAGGTGATTGGTCAAAGGGCTGGAGGGTGGAGCTGCGGTAGGTAGGTAGGTCATACATCCACAGTGGGTCAGGAGGCTCTGTTTCAGGAAGCACCGGCAGTTCAGCTAACCCCAGTGGATCAGGAGGCTTGGGTTCAGGAGACACTGGCAGTTAAATTTAACCCCAGTGGGTTAGGAGGCTTTGGTTCAGGACGCACGGGCATTTCATTTAACGCCAATGGGTCAGAAGGGTTTGGTTCAGGGAGCACTGGCAGTTCTGCTAACGCCAGTGGGTCAGAAGGCTTTGGTTCAGGAGACACTGATAGTTCATTTAACTCCAATGAGTCAGGAAGCTTTGGTTCATGGGGTACTAGCAGTCGATTTAACCCCAATGGGTAAGGAGGCTTTGGTTCAGAGGGCACTGGCAGTTCATATAACCCCAGTGAGTCTGGAGGCCTTAGTTCAGGAAGAACTAAGAAGTCACATGGCTCTGGGAAGTCACACGGCTCTGGCGAGTCTGGAAACACACAGCTCTGGGAGGTCACACGGCTCTGGTGGCTCTGGGAAATGGCAGCCATTCGTGGGACTCAGGTGGTTGCTGTGGCTAATTGCGGAACTCTGGTGGATCTGGCAGAAGCCATCCATCCAGATCTGGCACCCTTGGAGAATCTTGCAGTGGTGGAGGATCAAGCAGCTCTGGCAGTGACGGAGGATCTGGGAGCTCTGGCAGTGACGGAGGATCTGGGAGCTCTGGAGGTTGTGGTGGCAGCTCTGGCAGTAACAGCTCTGGTGGTGGCAGCAGCTCTGGCAACTCAGTTGGTGGTGGCCATTCTTGTGACTTAGATCAGGGGTCACCAATCTCAGTCCTGGAGGGCCGGTGTCCCTGCAGGGTTTCGCTCCAACTTGCCTCAACACACCTGCCTGGGTGTTTCAAGTGTACCTAGTAAGAACTTGATTAGCTTGTTCAGGTGTGTTTGATTAGGGTTGGAGCGAAAATCTGCAGGACACCGACCCTCCAGGAACAAGTTTGGTGACCACTGACTTAGATGATGGTATTTCAGGAACAGGAACCAGGACTGGAACTATGACAGGGCAAAACTTAGGACAAGAAACCATCTTCCAAGCCAGCGGAGGACTGGCACTTACCATCTTGTGAGCTAGTGAACAAACTGCAGCCGTCTTGTGACCAGTCGGAGTGAAGGTCAATATGTATGGGATGACAGCCCTGGGGCAGGCTGACTGAAATTAAAAGGCTGTGTGCAAATACCCCATTCCTGGCCAAACAAAATATGCTCTTCTGGGGCCACAGTAAAGCCTGGTTTATACTTCTGCGTCAAGTGACCGGCGCAACCCACGGCGCATGCAACGCCTGTAGCTATGCATTTATACTTCTGCGCGCTGTCTCCGTTGGTCTGTATTAACTCTTCCAAAATGCTAGTGGCAGTGAGGTGTAAATGTTCCTCTGTGTTGAGTTTCTTCACTGCTTTTTTGCTTTTTCTGAACACTTCCTGGATGTACAAGTGGCTCAAACTCGCTCATTTTGAGGCAGGAACCGGCGGACGTGCAACAAATTTAACTATGAGGTAAACACAAAACAAAACTTTCCATCCGGAGCTCCTTCACGGGACTCCACACTTGTAAACAATCGCTCCATTTGGGCTAGCGCCGCTCACGCGGCTCTCGGTCCCGCCCAGACTCGTCAGCGATACCAAGCCGACCAATCACAGAGCTTACGCTACGTGTTGTTGCGACGTGTAGTTACATTTTTTGAGAGGTGCACGTCAGTGACGCCGACGGCCACGGCGAAGGGCTATGCGTCAACGTCGTAGCATATGCAGACGTTTGACACAGTAGTATAAATGAGCCTTAAGGGTGTCTTCAGCCACAACCAAGGGAATTATCTGGAGGGTTTGAAACTCTTAAAATAGTTTGACGCTGGGTGTCTAGCAAAATAACATTTGCAAAATACCAAGAAAGTAATTACATATTTATTTAAATAAACATTATTACCAAAAAAACTATATTTGTGTCTGTTTACTGTTTAAATACGACACTGTGTGTTTTATAGTGTGGATCATGGAGGAGAATTCAGGCTTACAACAGGACTACACAAATGTAAGAGTACAAACAACACAAATAAGCACAAACACACATGAACGAACACCTTTTCTTTGTAATACCTGTAATTATAACTATGTCATCACACAAATTTGTCCTGAATATGTCAAAATCAATGTGCACACCACACATATACACATTAAAAAACTTCCAATATCTGCAAATTCTTGAATGCATCAACTCAGAAATGTTGACGATACCCATTTAATTATGTTTGTGTCCTCATAAATAATATAAGAACTCACACTATATTCACTATATTTATAATTAATGAGTGTGTTTGTGATATAAATGTGTCTCTTCTTGTGTTCAGATGCCCGTTTTTTCACACTGGATCCAAACACAGCGAACGCTCGGCTCATTTTGTCCGAGGAGAACAGAAAGGTGACGTGTGTGAGAAAGAAACAGCCGTATCCAGATCATCCAGACAGATTTGAGGGATATCTGCAGGTGCTGTGCAGAGAGAGTGTGTGTGGACGCTGCTACTGGGAGATCGAATGGACTGGTGTGGTGTTCATATCCGTGTCCTATAGCAGCATCGGCAGGATGGGGTCTGATAAAGAGTGTTGGTTTGGTTTTAGTAATCAGTCCTGGAGTTTGTTCTGCTCTTCTGACAGATGCAGCTTTACACACAGCAGCACAGAGATTGATCTGCCCGTGAAACACACCAGCAGTAGAATAGGAGTGTATGTGGATCACAGTGCAGGAACTCTGTCTTTCTACAGCGTCTCCGACACCGTCAGCCTCATCCACTCAGTCCAGACCACATTCACTCAGCCGCTCCATCCTGGCTTTTACATTTCACTTGGATCATCAGTGAAACTGTGCTGATGAATCTCATGTCACATGTCAGATTAATTATGGTGGATCGAGGAAGCCAACATCCTGTTAAACTACATTAACTTATTATTATTCCTCCGTCTTCTTCTTTTTAGACTATTTTAAGAACACATCTCCTGCTAGACTGTTCATACTAAAACCACCAAACTAACTCCAAACCTCCAAACTATACTGAACTAGGTTGCTATATCTTCTCCAATTGATTCGACTTAAGGTAACTGTCCCAGAACATTTGGAAAAGTCCCATTGACTTTAACAATATGTTAATTTAGGCTTGAAACATGCTAGCAACATGCTAATTCATACTCAAACCAAGCTTATGTTAGCAACTGCCTAGGAACTACTCAGAACACCTAAGCAACCACCTGGCAACACCTTAGCAACTGCTCAGGACACCCTAGCAACTAATCAGAATATCCCAGAAACAACCTAGAACGTCTGAACAATCACCTAGCAACACCTTAGCAATCACCTAGGAACGCTTTAGCAACTGCCTAGCAACCAAACAGAACACCCTAGAAACACATTAGCAACCACCTAGCAACACCTTAGCAAGCGCCTAGCAACACCTTAGCAACAACCTAGAACACTTTAGTAACTGCCTAGCAACACCTTCGCAACTACTCAGGACACCCTAGCAACCACCTAGCAACACCTTAGCGATGACCTAGAACACCTTAGCAACCACTCAGAACACCCTACCAAGCGCCTAGCAACAACTTAGCAACCAGCTAGCAACACCTTAGCAATGACCCAGAACACCTTACCAACCGCCTAGCAACACCTTAGAAACCACGAAGCAACGCCTTAGCAACCACCTAGCAACCACTTAGAACACCTTAGCAACTGCCTAGCAACCAATCACAATACCTTAGAAATTACCTAGCAACCACTCAGAACACCCCAAGAACCAGCTAGCAACACCTTAGCAACTACCTAGCAACACATTAGCAACCCCATAGCAACACATTAGCAACCACCTAGCAACCACTCAGAACACCCTAGCAACACCTTCGCAACTACCTAGCAACACCCAAGCAACCGCCTAACAACCACTCAAAACCCACTAGCAACAACTTCGCAACACCTTAGCAAAGACCTAAAACACCTTAGCAACCACCTAGCAATGCCTTAGCAACCACTCAAAGCAATGCTCTTAGCAACTACCTAGCAACATCTTAGCAACCACCTAAAACACTGTAGCAACGTCTTAGCAACTACTCAGAACACCCTAGCAACTGCCTAGCAACACCTTAACAACCTCCTCGCAACACCTTAACAACTACCTAAAACACCCCATCAACACCTTAGCAAATGCCTAGCAACCACTCAGAACACCTTAGCAACCACCTAGCAATGCCTGAACAACCAGTCAAAACACCCAAGCAACGCCTTAGCAACCACTCAGAACACCCTATCAACTGCCAAGCAACACCTTAACAACTACCTGAAACAGCCTAGCAACCACCTAGCAACACCTTAACAACTGCCTAGCAACCACTCAGGACACCTTAGCAACCGCCTAGCAATGCCTGCACAACCGGTCAAAACACCCTAACAACGCCTTAGGAACCACTCAGAACACCCTATCAACTGCCTAGCAACGCCTAAGCTACCACTCAGAACACTCTAGCAGCCACTTAGCAACCACTCAGAACACTCTAGCAGCCACTTAGCAACCACTCACAACCTCCTATCGACAGCCTAGCAAGAAACATACAAATCCATATTAGAAACCTGCTAACCTGTATGTAGTCATAGCTGTTTCAAACCTCTTAAACTACTTCAGTTATTTAAACTTTAAATCTACGTCACACTTTCAGACGAGGCTTTCTCGAGACACCATAAAGATTGTCTATGAACTTTTATAGTTATTAATTGGTGGTTTGCTTTTACATTTTTGTTATAACTTTAATGTCCATGAGCACTGAGGACGGAGAGAGGCATCATGTGAGAGGCAGTATTGAGCAGAGCCTCTATTACACCATCATTGCTTCATCCTCTGTAATGATGTGATGGAGAGAGGTGATGGAAACTGAAGGAGAGAGTGGAAAGATTCCTCCAGCTATTAGAGCTCTTAGCGAGTGGTATAACCTCACCTTTCTTCCTTTTACTGATTTTGGTATTAAATGTTTTCATTCTGTGAAGCCCTGATGAAGCACTTGCTGTATGTGGCATGCTGAATTTGTCCTGCAGTTATTTATATTTGAATGGGCTCAATATTGTGTAATTGTCGTGCAATTGACAGTGTTACCTGATAAATAAAGTCTTATATTGGATTTATGATTTTTAATGCTACTGAAATCATAATGACTATTAATTAGTGGTGTGACGAGACGCCTACTCCACAAGACGGAACAAGCCACGAGACTGGGTTCATTTTTACCCTGTTTTTACGAAATCGTCTTTTCATTCATTCATTCATTTTCTTTTCGGCTTATTCCCTTAATTAATTTGGGGTCACCACCGCGGAATGAACCACCAACTTATCCAGCATATGTTTTACACAACAGATGCCCTTCCAGCTGCAACCCATCAATGGGAAACACCAAACACTCTTATTCACACACAGACACTACTGACAATTTTAGCTTATTTAATTCCCCTATAGTGCATGTGTTTGGACTGTGGAGGAAACCCACGCCAACACGGGGAGAACATGCAAACTTCACACAGAAACACAAACTGACCCAGCCGAGGACTCAAACCAGCGACCTTCTTGCTGTGAGGCGACAACACTACCCACTGTGCCACCCATTTACACATATAGTAATTATAATTAAAAGCATTAATTTAAATATATTTTAAGCCAAACACCATAGTATTGTTGTTGTACCTGTTTTATGGAGGAATATCTGAGAAACGGGACTTTTATTTTGATTCTAGTGCGTGACGTCATAAAACTGCGCCACACTTCTGCATAGTTTGTTTCATCTGAAGAAAGGTTTGTGTTTATAATCATTTCAAGTGATGAAATTGATGTCGATTATCTATATACCCATATACAGACTTAAGAATATCCAGTGGATTATTATCATGCGTTATCCAACATGTGTAACGTTAGTCATTATTTTTAAGAGCAACATGAGAAACGCGCGATAAAGAGAATCCGCGTCTAGTTTTATGTTGTGAATCAGTTAATTATTAACTCTAAATCAGCGAGTATAATTTATAGCGAGTGGAGATGCGAGTCAGCTGAATGTAATACTGCTGAATACGATTCACTTTTCTCAATCGCCGCAGTTTGATACTGAAACCCGACTCCAGGACACACCGCACTCCCGATCGCGGGCACGCGCTTTAGTTGTTATCACGAGACTATTACCGATCACTTTTCCACAGTTAGCAGCAAGAATCGTAAGTTTTACATCTAAATAATTACTGAATTAACTTTTATTATTACTTTCTTCCCATGTATTCTGCATTTCGTTCTCATTACTACAACAAATCACGTTTTTAAACGTAGTTTCCCTAACACTGTTTACTGTTGTCAACATCGACACAATATTTATTGTTCAATACGGATTTATTATTAGACATGTTTATTATTATTATTATTATTATTGCATTCATACAAGACTGTACAAAGCCTGCAGGGTGTGTTTTCGGCAAAGCGTTTAACAATACAATTATTATTTTTACTTTCAGTTATGATTAAAATGAATAGATGCAAAGCAACACTGTCCATAATCTTTAAAACATAATATAAATATGATGCATCTGTATAATCTGTGTGTATTAACGGCTTTTTAATGCTAGTTTTATTGATTTGATTGATAATGGCTGTGAACTATCACTCTGACTCCCTCACTAGTGCACTGACTACTGAACTAGAGCGCTGATGGAGACTGGATTTGTGTCTTACTGTTCATTATTCTGATCTTCAACAGGACAAACACAGAAGATCTGCTGAAGCGACTGAGCTCAGGCTGTTATAAAGATGGCATTTATTAAAGAGGAGAGTGAAGACATCAAGATTGAAGAAACATTCACAGTCAAACATGAACAGACTGAAGAAGCTTTCAGAGTCAAACATGAAGATCCTGAGGAACAAACAGGTTGGTTTTCATCCTCAAACCTCAACATTTGATCCTCATTCAGATCTGCAGCTCTACACTGATCAATATTTCTCAAGTGTCCTCATTAAAGTGCTTTATCTGACATGCTGTTTCAGCATATTCAACAACCGACAGTCTTTTGCTGCATCCTAATTTGCATACTATCCCACCTAAATAGTATTTGAAAATAGAATTAGTGTTTCTCAAGCTATCTTGAATAGAGTATGCTAAAGGTTCCCAGATGGTGTATTTCTGCTAGAAATTTAAAGTGTAAAACCCTTTATACTCTAACCCAGTGATGGCCGAACTCGGTCCTCAAAGAGGCCGGCGTCCCGCTGAGTTTCACTCCACAATAATCAAACAGACCTGAACATGCTAGTCGGCAGTGTTGGGGGTAACCCATTACTAGTAACATGAGTTAGTTAATAATCAGGGCTTGACATGAACTTTTTTGTTCACCAGCCACTTTGGCTAGTAGATTTCCAACATTGCCAGCCACTCGTCATTTTCACTAGCTACAATTTTGTTGTTAGGAAAATATATTTTATATGCACAAATATGACTTTGACACGCTAAAATGACTTGATTTAGATGTTGTATGTCCACATGCCTCCTCATTCATTTCACTTTTTGTGTGTGTTGTGTATGCCCAGGTAAAAAAAAGTGCACTAAAATGCACTTGAAGTATACTTAGTACACTTTTCAGTAATGTACTAAAAGTGCTCTATTTTCGCACACTAATTTTGTACTTAATGTACTAAAAGATAGTATTAAGTATATGTTAAGATAAACTTAATACCATCTAAGTGCACTCAACTGTGCTATTTTGAGACACTCTGAAACTGATCTAAAATGTGCTTTTATCATACTATATCTGTATTTAAAAAAATATATTTAGTTACAGCTAGACATACACTTGAACCCTACTTTTAAACATTTAAATATATTTATGACTAATTTAAAGTATATTAGTAATATATTAAAATATTCAAATTGTAAAAAAAAAACG